TGATGTTGTTGTCGTTGACGTTGTTGTTGTTGTTGTTGTTGTTGTTGTTGTTGTTGTTGTTGTTGTTGTTGTTGTTGTTGTTGTTGTTGTTGTTGTTGTTTTGTTGTTGTTGTTGTTGTTGTTGTTGTTGTTGTTGTTGTTGTTGTTGTTGTTGTTGTTGTTGTTGTGGTTGTTGTTGTTGTTGTTGTTGTTGGTGTTGGTGTAGTTGGTGTTGTTGTTTGTCTTGTTGGTGTTGTTCTTGGTGTTGTTGTTCTTGTTGTGGTTGTTGGTGGTGGTGGTGGTGGTTTTGTTGGTGATGTTGTTTTGGTGTTGTTTTGGTGTTGTTTTGGCGTTGTCGTTGTTATTGTTTTTGTTGTTGTTGTTGTCGTTGTTGTCGTTGTTGTAGTTGTTGTCGTTGACGTTGTCGTTGTTGGTGTTGTTGTTGGTGTTGTTGTTGTTGTTGTTGTTGTTGTTGTTGTTGTTGTTGTCGTCGTTGGTGTTGGTGCTGTTGGTGTTGTTGGTGTTGTTGGAGTTGTTGTTGGTGTTGTTGTTGGTGTTGTTGTTGGTTTTTGTTGTTGTTGTTGTTGTTGTTGTTGTTGTTGTTGTTGTTGTTGTTGTTGTTGTTGTTGTTGTTGTTGTTGTTGTTGTTGTTGTTGTTGTTGTTGTTGTTGTTGTTGTTGTTGTTGTTGTTGTTGTTGTTGTTGTTGTTGTTGTTGTTGTTGTTGTCGTGGTCCTTGTTGTTGTTGTTATTGTTAGTTTTGGGGTTGTTGTTGTTGTTGTTGTTGTTGTAGGTGTTGGTGTTGTTGTTGTTGTTGTTGTTGTTGTTGTTGTTGTTGTTGTTGTTGTTGTTGTTGTTGTTGTTGTTGTTGTTGTTGTTGTTATTGATGTTGTTGTCGGTGTGGTTGTTGGTGCTGTTGTTGGTGTTGTTGTTGGAGTTGTCATTGTCGTTGTCGTTGGTTTTGTTGTTGATGTTGGCGTTGGTGTTTTTGTTGGTGTTGTTGTTGGTGTGGCTGTTGGTGTTGTTGTTGTTGTTGGTGGTGGTGGTGTTGTTTTTGTTGGTGGTGGTGGTGTGGTTGTTGGTGCTTTTGTTGGTGTTGAGGGCAAGCTTTGAGCCCCGGGTTTGAGCGCCGGCTGTGAACGCCGGCTTTGAGCGCTGGCTTTAAGCGCCGGCTCTGACAGCCGGCTTTGAGCGCCGGTTCTGAGCGCCGGCTCTGGGCGCCGGCTCTGAGCACCGGCTCTGAGCGCCGGCTCTGAACGCCGGCTCTGAGCGCCGGCTCTGAGCACTTTTGGTGCTGTTGTTGTTGCTGTTGTTGTTGCTGTTGTCGGCTCTGAGGGCTTTTGGTGCTGTTGTTGTTGCTGTTGTTGCTTTTGCTGTTGCTGTTGATGCTGTTGTTGCTGTTGTTGTTGTGGAGATGTCTTGTCGATAGAAGTGAACGGGATTCTCTTTGTTGAGCAATGTCGCTCCGGCAGCAGATCTCACAACTTCAGGAGTCATGTTGGTCCCGGACATGACCTTAAACTGTGTCCAGAAAGGTAAGCCAAGATTAGTAAAACATCCTTGTTATCATTAGTGTTATGATTTTGTAACGTCCCATTTTTTGTTTACAAACTTGGTCTCACTCATTTTCTCGAATTTTTCTCCTCCTTGATGCTTCTCACTAATGCGCTCAATTTTTTACTCTTTCTTGTCGATATTCTTGCTATGATTCACCTTGTCTTTCTTGTTCTCGTTATAGTTTCCATTCTTGTTCTCATTATAGTTTCCATTCTTGTTCTCATAATAGTTCCCATTCTTGTTCTCATTCTTGTTCTCATTTCCATTCTGTCTTTCTAGTTCTAATTTCTGTTCTCATTTCTCTTTGTTCTCCTTCATTTTCGTATTTTGGTGGTTCTAGTTCTTTTTCCCATCCTGTTGCTGTTGCTGATCGCTGGCTGCTCGCTTGCCGCTCGCCTCGCAGCTCGCTTGGCCACTCGCCTGGCCACTCGCCTGGCCGCTCGTCGTTCCTATTCTTGTTCTCATTCTTGTTCTCATTCTAGTCCCTATTCTTGCTCTCATTCTTGTTCTCATTTCCTTTCTCTCTTTCTAGTTCTAATTTCTGTTCTCATTTCTCTTTGCTCTCCTTAATTATCGTTTTTTGATGCTTCTAATTCTTTTTCCCATCCTGTTGCTGTTGCTGATAGCTAGCTGCTAGCTGGCCGCTCGCCTGGCCGCTCGCCTGGCCGCTCGCTCGCCTGGCCGCTCGCTCGCCTGGCCGCTCGCTCGCCTGGCCGCTCGCTCGCCTGGCCGCTCGCCCGCCTGGCCGCTCGCCCGCCTGGCCGCTCGCCCGCCTGGCCGCTCGCCCGCCTGGCCGCTCGCCCGCCTGGCCGCTCGCCCGCCTGGCCGCTCGCCCGCCTGGCCGCTCGCCCGCCTGGCCGCTCGCTCGCCTGGCCGCTCGCTCGCCTGGCCGCTCGCTCGCCTGGCCGCTCGCTCGCCTGGCCGCGCGCCTGGCCGCTCGCCTGGCCGCGCGCCTCGCCGCGCGCC